CTCAGGTGATCCACCTGCCTCAGCCTCCCAAAGTGCCCGGTCTGTTGTCATGCATTTTAATCCTTCATATATTAGAAACTCCACAATACTTTATCATTTTTTTATTAAGTAGTCAATTCTTTTGCTCTTTTTTTGAAAGAAGAAAGAAGATTAATTCTCTAACGTGTCATAAGCATGCAGGCAGGTCGTCAGAGTCTGTGTTCCTTCTGTCTTATTCGCCTTGCCATCCTGAAGGTTTTGCTGCCATCCTCCTGTTCCAAAATGATCTATCACTGTGTCTCCCTTCCAGCTAGTTGGGGGGTGGGGGAAGAGGAGAAGGGGGTACAACTCAGAGATTGCACACGCTGCTTCCTCTCTCATTGAAGGTCTGGGAGAAGTTGTCCTTCTTTTGGATTGCCAGGCTCCCACTAAAAATCAGGGGTTCTGTTACCTCAAAGCCAGAGTTAGAAAACTGCCACCATGGGCCAAATCCGGCCTGCCACCTATTTTTGTACAACCTCTAAGCTAAAAGTGATTTTTCCATTTTTTAAATAGTTAAAAAAAAAAAAAGAGAAAGAATGTTTTGTGACACATTAAAAGGATATGAAATTGAAATCTCAGTATTTACAAATAAAGTTTTACTGAACATAGCTGGACGCATTTGCTTACGTATTGTGTACAACTGCTTTTGCACTGTCACAGCTGAGTTAGTGGTTGTACCTTAGGCCACCTGTCCCACAAAGCCTGCAGTATTTTTTTACCAGCTGGCACTTTGCAGAAGGAGTTTGCGGACACTGATCTGGAGCATGGACTGAATGATATTACAGGATAACTAACAGACCTTGTCACACTCCCCCAGCACGGAGACCACAGATTTTGTATGTCTCTTTAGACTTTAACTCTATTTTAAGAAAGATTTTTAAGATGAGGATATATGTTTTTATATTTACCTTCATATTTATCATTTCTGATGGTCTTTATTCTCTCTTTTATTTTTCCTCTTCAGAGACAGGGTCTTGAACTGTTGCCCAAGCTGGAGTGCAGTGGTGTGATCATAGCTCACTGCAGCCTCAAACACCTCAGCCTCCCAAGTTGCTGGGACTAGGCACACGTCACCATGCCTGGCTAATTTTCAGACTTTAGAGACAGATTTTCATCATGTTGGTCAGGCTGGTCTCAGACTCCTGACCTCAGGTGATCTGCCTACCTTGGCCTTGCAAAGTGCTGGGATTACAGGTGTGAGCCACTGCACCTGGCCTTTCTTTAGCTTACTTTGCTTGGATGGAGCATATCTACACCCTAAGGGCCGGGTATGTGGGAGCTGTTTCTCATCAGCTCTTGAGCCCTGTTACTCTCATTGCAATGGCAGGGGTGGCCTTTTGGATTGCAGATCACTTTCCTCATTACTTATGACACTGCACGTGTTTTCATGTTCCTGTCGGCAATTTGTGTGTTCTCCTTTGTGAAGTTCCTGTTTACATGTTTTAAAACTTAGATTTTTCTTATCATAATAAGCTGTGAGAGTTTTTGTTTTTAATCTTTTTGGAGACAGGGTCTCCCTATGCTGGCCAGGCTGGTCTCAGACTCCTGGCCTCAAGCAGTCCCCCTGCTTCAGTCTTCCGAAGTGCTAGGATTATGGGCACAAGCCACTGTGCTTGACTGAGTTTTAAAAAGTGTATTCTGGAGATGTCATTTGTCATATATTTGTATTGTAAATAAATTTCTTTCTAGTCTGTGGCTTGTCTTTTCATTTTCTTAATGGTATTTTTCAGAGAGAGAAGTTTTTGATTTTGATAAAATCTAGCTAATCCCTTTTTTTCTTTTAGGATTTCACGTCCTCTTTAAGAAATCGTTGCTTTCTCTATGTTTTCTAGTTTTGGCTTTTATATTTAATTCTAGGACCCATTTCAAGTTAGCGATGTGAGGTAAGGGTCAGGATTTGGTTTTGTTTCTTCCATGTGGGTATTCAGTTGTTCCACTGTATATTATTTGGCATTTGTTGAGCTGCATCTTCAAGGTAGATTCCTGGAAGAGGGGTTTCTGGTCAAAGAATGGTTTTATCTCGTTGCCAGGTGCTGTGGGTACTGTATTATCTGGGAGTCTCATGGGAATCTAGGAGGCTGTCTGTTTGCCCACAGCCTCGCCAGCACAGAGTTTCAAGTTTTTGGCTTTTTTTCAGTTTGCAGTGAGAAATAGTATCTTAAATGAGTTTCTATTTACATCTCCTTATTATGAGTGCCACTTATGAGTCTTTAATAAGTCACATACATTTATTGTGATTTGATATATATTTGGACTTCTTTTCATTATCTCATTTTGTATTTTTGTTTGTTTAAGACAGAATCTCACTCTGTCACTGAGGCTGGAGTGCAGTGGCTCACTGCAGTCTCTGCCTCTCCGCTTCAAGTGATTCTTTCACCTCAGCCTCCCAAGTACCTGGGATTAAAGGCACGTGCCACCACGCCCAGCTAATTTTTGTATTTTTAGTAGTGACGGGGTTTCACTATGTTGGCCAGGCTGGTCTTGAACTTCTGACCTCAGTGATCCACCTGCCTTGGGCTCCCAAAGTGAGCCACCACACCTGGACTCATTTTGTGTTTGCTATTGACTGTAGTTTTTCTATTTTATTTGTTATGTTCTGCCTCCTCTTGAATTGACCATTTTCTCCCTCTTCCTTTCTACTCTTTTATGTATTGCATTTCATTTCTCTTGGCCTTAAATTTTATATATACTTACACTTTCTAATAAAGTTTCAAGGTAATCATGGTTCTCACATCAAGAATGTCGCCTTTTCTTTTATAAACTCCTCTTCTGTTTCTGTTCTATTTTCTAGAATTTTAGTTTAATCCTGCTGTTTTATATTTTCTTTAAGTTCCTTAGAGTGGAATTTCTTGGGTTCAAATCCCAGATCTGTTCTGAATTAGCTGAATAAACATGGGCAAGCTATTTCACCTCTCTGTGCCTGCTTTTCCTAATCTGAAAAGGGGGAAATAATTGTGCCCATAGAGAAATCACATGGAATTCAGTAAAGTACATGCTACTGTCACATAAAATTGAATTATATAAAGTTAATTCATATAAAGCATTTAGAATAGTTCTTGATATATAATAAGTACTAAGTAGATGTTGATTATATAATTAATATTATGGAACTGCTGGTTTCTTCTTCTCCTTCCCCAAGTATATACTTTGTAGTTCTTTTAATAAGGAGCTGTCTTTGTTCACACTGCTATAAGGGAATTCCTGAGACTGAATAGTTTAGCAAGAAAAGATTTATTGGCTCACAATTGTGCAAGCTGTACAAGAAGCATAGAGCTGGCATATGCTTCTGGTGAGGCCTCAGGAAGCTTCCAATCATGGCGGAAGGGGAACAGGAGCTGTGTGTCACCCGACGAAAGAGGAAGAGAGAGAGAGGGGAGGGAGTGCTATGTTATCTATCTATTTATTTATTTATATTTTTATTTTTTGAGATGGAGTCCCACTGTGTGACCCAGGCTAGAATGCTGTGGTGCAGTCTCAATTCACTGCAATCTCCACTTCCCAGGTTCAAGTGATTCTCCTGCTTCAGCCTCCCAAGTAGCTGGGACTACAGGAGTGCATCACCATGCCTGGAAAACTTTCGTATTTTCAGTAGAGACAGGGTTTTACCATGTTGAGCAGGCTGGTCTTGAACTCCTGACCTCAAGTGATCCACCTACCTTGGCCTCCTACAGTGCTGGGATTACAGGCGTGCCACAGTGCTTGGCCTGTTTGGTTTCATAAATACTATTTCTTCTTTTATTTCTTGGATATTTTAAATAAGTTTATTTGAAAGTCCTTTTCAGACTGATGTTTTATCCTCATATCATCAGGTGTGAATATTTCTCTCCCAATCTCCTGTTTATTTATTTACTGTTTATGATGGCATTGGACTACTTTGCGGACTTAGTGATTTTTGTTTAAGAACTTGTCTTGTATGGACATTTCTCTCGGTGAATTTTAACTACCACCTCCACTCCTAGTTCTATAGTTTTATCTTTTTGGCTGAAAGTTGTACCCTGATAATGTAATTCCAAACCAAAAGACCACATGACATGCAGACTTGGGCTCCAAATTACTTTAAAGAAGGGTTAGGGCAGTTTATAATATCATTTCATATTTCAATGACTTCTGTTATTTAATAGGTGAAAGGTGTATCTTGTCATTTCAATTTGTGTTTCTTTTATTAATAGTAGGACACTTCTGTAGAATTGCCTCTCTGTTTCCCTAATAAATGATTGCTGGGTAAAACAACAGCCATTTTATAATGCTCATGGGTTCTGTGGTCAGGAATTCAGAACAGGCATGGCAGGAGGGTTTGCCTTTGTTCCACACTGTCCAGGGCCTCGGGAGGGAAACTTGAGGGCTGGCAGTAACTAAGCGGGTGCATCTGAGGACTCAGGCACGTTCTGGCAGTTGATGCCAACTTTTGGCTGGGACCTCAGCTGGGGCTGTCATCCACAATACCCTGGCAACCTTTCCATGTGGCGGCTTCCCCACAGCATCACGGCTGGGCTTCAAACGTGAGCATCTAAGATGGCAAATGCTGACTATGTCACGTTTTGGTGATGTTGCTTTAGAAGTCACACAGCACCACTTCCCTGTTGGTTATGAGCCCACCCAGATGCATGGGAAAGGAACATAGAGTCCACCTCTTGGAGGGAGGCAGGGTCAAGTTGTAAGAAGGCCCTGTGTGTTGGTGCACGTTGCTCTTGTCTTAGGGAAATGTCACCTGACAAGTTGGGAAAATATTATTGTGTTCAATTATTAGTCAGCTGGTATGGGAATTTTTAGAACATTGTAATTGTTTTTTTACAATAAAGGTTGAAACAAGATTTTAAAATGTAATCCCCTCAAGTAAGGCTTATTACAAATTCATATTCCATAAAAATTTTACATATTAAGACTTTATAATAGTATTTGCTTTTATTATATTCCTTTATATCCTGTTTATTAATATCACTTTTCCATGTAGCTTTCTTATTACCATTTTTATTTTGCAGACGAAGCTGTAAAATGTAATATGGATTCCTTGAGAGATTCACCTAAAAACAAATCTGAAAAGAAACAGCATTGCATCTCTTTAAAAGATACAAATAAGGTTGTATTTTAAAAATGCTCTTTAATTACAAAGTTCATGTAGTGTTAACTTAAAATTTTTCTCTTTTGAAATCTCTCTGAAACCAAAAGTATGTTTTCTATTAAAAAATCCTTGGCCATGTTAGCTTTGTTCATGAAAAAGTATAGTTTGCATGTTTGCTTATTTTGAAAGGAGAAAATAATTCCAGCTCCTTCACATCAAGCTCTTACTCTCGGCCTAGTTTGCTTTCTACAGAATTGGATATTGATTCTCCCTTTAACGAAGGTGTGAAAATCTGGAATTCCGGGGCATTGTCATAGTGACGTGCAAGTCTAACCTGCCTTCCGGTCCCTTTGACAAGACAGGTGAAAGTCATCGCAGGACATTTTAAATGTCTGGAATGCCAGCGGCCTGCCATTTGTATGTTTAATGAGTGGTTATGGCACTGGCATAATCACCCAGTTTTCCAGTTTTTTGTCTCTCCATATCTCTGTGTGCATGAAAATTGTCTGGGATGGTTGTTCATGAGAATAACTCCCATGGAATTTTAGTTCCAAAAGAATGTATATATGTTGCTGGCATACACATTCTTTCTGAAACAAAGTTTTTTTTTTTTTAACAGCGTGTTGAATCTTCAGCATACTGGCCAACAAAAAGAGGCATAACCATATATGCTGATCCAGATATACCAGAAGCAAGGTATGATTTGAAAATTCAAGCTGGTGTGGTGGCGCCTGCCTGTAGTCCCAGCTACTAGGGAGGCAAAGCTGGGGGGATCGCTTAAGCCCACGAGGTCGAGGCTTCAGTGAGCTATGATCATACCACTGCACTCCAGCCGAGGTGACAGAGTGAGACTCTATCTCAAAAAAGAAAAAAAAAAAAGAAAGAAAAAAGAATAAATAATTCGGTGTATAATTGACTAGAGACTTAAGAGTGATATTGTCTTATACAGTGCTCTGTAAGATTGATGATGGGAAAATGGTCCATTTTCAAAGAGTGGCCCAGGCAATTTTGGTTAAACATCATATATATTAACAGAAAAATGTGACACCTGGTTGATAATCAGAGTTGACTGAAAACTAGTAGTGGCCCTAGAGTCTGTCTCCTCTTTGCCTTGTTGGACAGAGCTGTCCCTGTAAGGCAGGTCTGAAGTTTGGCATGGAGTGGTCCTGATGGGCGGCATGGCCTCACATGGCCAGATGGAAGCAGAGGCTGAGTGGTTACCCGGGGTGGAAAGAGAAGAATGTTTTCATGAGTCTCAGAGGCTGGGTCTGTACTCTGTCCTCTTCAAGATATGTGTCAGTGACGTTAATGACATCGCAGAAAGGATGTCATATTGTATCACTTCGTGAATGGCCTAAGAACTCAAAGCAGTAGACTTTCACACTTCCCCTCGTGGATGTTATGCTGTGGTTTGTCGTATGTTTTACTTTTACATATCTCATAAATGCTAGACTCTATCTCACTTTTATTTAAATAGTCAATTACAACCTACAGAGAGTTAACTAACACAAATATCTTCTCTTATTTTACCTATGTGATTGCACTGGTGTTTTTTACTTTTTGTGTAGATCCCTATTTCCATCTGGTATCATTTTCCTTCTACCTAAAGGACGTCCTTTAGTATTTCTTGTATTGCAGGTCTGCTGTTGATGAACTCTTTCAGCATTTTTTTTTTTTTTTTTAAGTATTCAGGTTCATTTTAAGAAGGATACCTTTGCTAGGTGTAGAATTCGAGGTCGACAGAACTTTATTTAAAGATGTTGCCCCTCTGTCTTCTTGCTTGCATTGTTCCCAGCACTGCCTCTGCTGTAACCGCTGCCTTTCTTTCTCTGACATTTCTCTGACTACTTCTCAGATTTTCTCTTGATTACTGGTTTGAGCAATTTAATTTTGGTATACCAGCTGGGCACAGTGGCTCTCGCCTATGATCCTAGCACTTTGGAAGGCCGAGGTGGGCAGATGACCCGAGGTCAGGAGTTCAATACCAGCCTGGCCAACATGGTGAAACCCCGTCTCTACTAAAAATACAAAAAAGTTAGCTGGGTGTGATGGTGGGCGCCTGTAATTCCAGCTACTTGGGAGACTGAGGCAGGAGAATCGCTTCAACCCAGGAGGTAGAGGTTTCAATGAGCTGAGATCATGCCACTGCACTGCAACCTGAGTGACAGAGCAAGACCCCATCTAAAAAAAAAAAAAAAAAAATTTATTGTATACCTTGCTGTCGTTGCTATCATATTTCTTATGCTTGGGGTTCATGAATGTTCTTCATTTGTATCTTTCTTACGTCAAATAGTCATTATGTCTACAAATATCTTTTCTGCACCAATCTCTTTTTCCTCTCCTTTTAGAGATTCTCATAAAACAAATGTCAGATATTTTGATATTGTCCCAAAAGTCCCTGAGGCTCTGTTCATTTTTTCAGCCTTTCGGTCTTGCTGTTCTTTAGATTAATGATTCTACTGATCTGTCTGTATGCTCATTCTCTTCTATCAATCTGCCTTCTGCTATTGAGCC